CAGACAATAAAGCTTATTTTTCAATATAAATTAGCACTGTTTATTTTATATATGTAAGCATGATGAAATGATCAGAAATCAATTCTAACTAGGCTTTACTTACAGATCTACAGCAATTAATTTCTACATAGTCTCTCTACCACTTCTGTTGGATGTCATTGACTTAAACAACTTATTAGATAAAATAAATATGTATTATTTCATTATTAATTTTTAGATCAGCCCCTTTTTATAAAGATCATGTACCCATTTTATATAAAATGTGGGAGAGTGCTGGCTCAGCTATCATAGCAATGTATAATGTTCCTTACCTGGAGTACTCTTAAGAAAGATTTGATCAAATGAAATGTTTATTCACCTGACAATAAATTCTATTGTATGAACCAACACAAAGCAATAACTAGAGGAATCGAGTAACACCAATCTAAAACCGAGGAGGAGGAAGAAGAAGAGGAAGGAGAAGGAGAAAAGGAAGGAAGAAAGGAATTCTGGGCAGAAAAGGGGGGAGGGGAGAGGAGTGAAGTGATAGAAAGCACTGGGAATGTAGCTCAGTGTAAAACCCCTGGGCTTAATCCTAGCACTGCAAAAATTAATTACTAAATTAATTAGAATTATTTTATATTATAGTTGAACCATTGAAAAATAATTTTGTGATTTACTTTTATTCCTTTAATTTCAGACTATCACTTTTCTAAATATTTAATTCCTCCATAGTCTCTATGGAATTTAATTTTTCCATAGTCTCTATGATATTTGTCAATATTTATTCCTTCTTTTTCATTATCTAAAGAAAATACAAAATAGCAAAAAAAATTATAGACAATGCAGACCTTTAACAAACACAAGGAATTTGACAATGGTTGCTGTATTGTGTAATATTGTCTTGAAATTAGTTTAATATTTTATTCTTTTGGCTATTTAGATTCAGCTAAGTGGATAGAAAGATCTACTCCACCAGATATTGATAGGAACCCAAATACTTCTATGCTGTTTTTATTGATCTTAATAATGATAACTTATCTAAGTATTAATTATTACCAAGAAATTATAAAAGGAAGACACACAAGTGCCACTTGCAATTAATAAAACTGTATTCTTAGAAAGCCCAATTTCAGGAGAGGAGTAAATAAGTACATTTATCTTACAAAAAAAGAGTAATTTGGGGCTGGAGAGATGGCTCAGTGGTCTAAAGCACCTACTTAGAACAAGCTTAGCAAAAGCATCAGGGACCGCGGTTCAATCCCCCAGCACCACA